ATTACACCTATTCTAGAAAACTCGAAGTTGGTGTGGCTAGTGGCTTTAGTATACAACTAAGATGTGGAATCCAGTCGCTCCGGCGATTGCATGTTACACCATTGATCCTTACAGCATGCAGTTCCTTCGCAATCGTGGAGTAGCTATCCGGCAATCAACCAGCTAATCATACAAGTTACTTACCCCACGTCAGCGCTTATAGTGGGTTTGTATCATACCACGCTAATACTATCCGGAAGGTGGTATACGGAACGATGATCAATCGCCAACTATTCTTAGTCCGATGTGGTGTAGCAATTGGGGTCCAAAATCCAGCAGGAACAGTTCTGCACCTCAGAGCGGAGCGATCATCGGGCGGTGCGGGCGGCTCGGCCAGCACGGGAAAGGCTTAATGGCCCCGCGAATTTAGTACCAAGTGGATACGCGATGTCAACTGCTAGTCTGATGCGGATCCACAGGGTTAAATAGCCTCAATCCATGGTGTCATTTAGTTTCTGCCGCTAGCTAGCACGCAATAGCAACTGGCATATTCCGTCCGTGCCGGCTAGCCCCCCACATTCCTGTGTAGGAGCTGGCAGACAGGGTACACGTCAATGGAGACTTCTGCATGCGTCTGTGGACCCACTGCGCTATCTAAGCCTTGTGTAACTTGGCGGATTTGTGCCAAGCTTCCCTTGACGATTTGGCCTCGGTCTTGGTTTCTATCCACAGGATACAGCATGACCCTAGGGTACTCGTACTCAGCCAGCTCGTCCGCTCGACTGCTTTCTGATGCTCTTCCCTTGAAAAAGTCTCTTACACTCATTTTAACACTCTGGACACCACACCATAGATTGATTGAAAAATTTCGCAATGCAACTTTTCTGGACGCAACGCTTGAGTAGGCGGGTCGCCGCGACAATCTTGATACTAGGCATTGTATCTTCAGTCACCAGCTCTCAACTTCAGTACTGTCGTGTTGACGAATCTTTGCGTACGGATCAATGCCTTGCGTTATCAACGTTCCATAATTCAACCACCAACTCGAATGACTTTTATCTTGTCGTATCCGCAAAATTTGAAGATCGAAAGGGCTATGCCGCGTTTGGGACTGGCTTGACGATGGACGGGTCATTGATGTTCGTGATATATCCAGGAGCACAGGACAAAGGTATGGCCCAGTTCAATGAATCTCCGAACATATGACTGATACAAGAAGACGTCACCTTGAGTGTTCGGACGACCAAGTTAGTAGACATACTGAAATATAACGTAATGTTTGACTTACAAAAGAGTTCAACAGTTACCACTACCCACCTCAGCCATCAGATGACACGCCAGAACACCGAATCATCAAGACGTGGGTAGAGGGAGACTACCACAATGCTCAAGTCGTTTGTTATGGCTGCGACACATGGCATCGCAACAGCGCCAACGTGACGTCGAAGAAACAGAACTGGATATTCTCGAACCACTACGACTATGTCATGCAAACGAATGACCTCAACAAACCAATGAGTCTTCATACCGATTACAGTGTGTTTCGTTGTTCCCAATTGGATAAAACAGAACGAATTCTAACAAGTTCCAGATGTGTTTACCCTCGACATGACAACAAGTCACCATGTAGACGAGACACCCACTGCACCAGAACTAATCGCCAATGGTAGAAAATCGATAGGCGTGGAGAAAGATAGCGCGTGGAAACCGAGCCAGCTGTTTGCTATCCACGGTTTGCTCTTGGCATGCGCATTCGTGGTTATGATGCCATTAGGTGTCGCTGGAATTCGAAGCGGCCATTCCAACGCATTCAAGATCCATTGGATCATCCAGCTCTCCTCGGTGGCAACCGCTGCCTCAGGCATGATATGGGGAATATATCTGACTTGGGGACATCCCATTACCGTAAGGACATACTAGGACCAGTGATGGGGAATGCTAACTTGGCTGGTAGATTACGACATCACACGGTGCTCACAAGATACTCGGCATTACACTGCTGGTCGCGATTGGTCTTACGCCAGTGCTTGGTTATTTACATCACGTGCGATATCTCAAACTTGGGCGCGCAACTGGAGTCACCGTCTGGCATCGCCGATTTGGTGCATCAACTATGTCCAGCGCTTGGGTAAACGTTCTTCTGTGAGTAGTAGCCTTCGTACGTTCATTGACTTTGCTAATTACTAATTTCAAAAGGGGTTTCTGGATTGCAGGTCAATCCGTGTGGTTCTTTATTGCTATGATTGGATTAATGGGCTGTTCTACATCTGCTATCTACTTTGCCCCAGTCTGGGGTGCGAGTGTTACCAGAGCGGGTGGCACAAAGGGCGAATATACTGCCGTGGAAGATGAAGAAGGTTCGGAACAAGGACTTTTGAGGAAAGAGAACCACACATAACTGCATGATACGGTAAGAGCAGTAGAATATGTGCATTAAAGGTGGTGTGCGTTTTTGCGATTGTTGCTGGATCAGAACATCACCGCTATAGCATTCCTTAAGTAGGCTGCCCTTTTATCGGAATAGACTCTGGTGCTAGGGTAGTAGCCCCTGTATTTGTTCAACATTATTTCGAGTAGCCCGTGTGCCCAAACACTAGGATCTTTAAAATATATTGAATGTTGACATGAACCACAATCCCTACCCTGAAGCGTTCGTTGTGACGATATGCCAGGGACGAAGCCCTTAACTGTAGCGACACCACTCTTGTGTATGGGAACACTTGTTTCGGAAAACCTCACTCAGAACACTGTTCTTTCGGTGCAGGTTACGGACATTGAAACAGGCGGACATTGAAACAGGGAGGATATATATTCCCAACACAACAAATACTAAGGCATTAGCTTGAAATACCACGATTTACCACTAACATGATATGCGGGAGGTCTACAGTACCTTCGTATACCAATATGGAGGCAATTAAAACTACTTATATGTATGGCAAGACATACAATGAATCTGCTATAAAGATATCCAACTGGAGCAAGGATGGGATTAGAAGTTTGGCTACTCTGCACATGCTAGCTTCTATTAACCACAATTATAGTAGTATGTAGGCAAACCCAATCAACGGAATTATGCCTAGAGAACTTTTGGGTATTGCTTCAGATCCTTCTCATCTATAGGGAGAACTTAGAATCAAGATATACAGTCCAAAGACCATTACATCCTAGTTAGACTTGCAAACACATGTGCAAGCATCTCATTAGTTAAGAGAAGCATAACGTAAGAATAAAGGAGCGGGTATAGCACGTAGGCCTCAAACACCATTCATCTCTCAAGCTTCGTACCTCGATAACTAGCCAAACCATGACAGCTTTCGACGATTGGTTAACAACATGGATGTATGTAGGCATTCCTATCAGCAAAACACTCATACTAGTGTTAGGCTAGTGCAATATTCCTAGATACCACGATAAATTCATGTCGAGCAAAGGTGGGTATGTTGAAGTTTTATATCATGCTATTATTGAAGAGGGGTGCTGCAATTGACATCGTGACCTCGTTTCGTGTTGATCTCAGCACCTTGGCCTAACAGCATCTTTACCACCTGTTCGTTTTTAAGAGTATAGATCATGTGGAAGTAATATAAGCCCTCTCGTGTTAATCTTCTTATTTATTAGTTTTTATAGATAGAGTAGAAAAGTATAATATTAGATAGAAATATATAAGTAGAGTAACTGTCAGGGTACGGCTCGTTAGGTTAGATTAGATAGTAGGTATTAGGATAGATTATAAGACGTAGCTTAAAGAGCTACGCACGGATAACTAAATAGATCCTTAAATACACGTATAAAGGCACGTACTACTAGCATAGATCCCTATCTATCTTTACGTACAACTCTTAACTAGTCTTTTATAGCTACGCTGTAATAGTAACTTTTTATATTTAACCTATACTTAAAACTCAAGTTTAATATATTAAGCTATAAAGGCTTGATACCTACACTATATGCTATTAAGAAAAACGTGAAGATACTACAACGCGAGGTTAACAAACTAGTTACAAAAGGAAAACAACTAGCAATC